CCCCCCCCCCCCCGCCCTCTGCTTGCGCTGCTTTTACCGAAACCGCGCCACCGAAAAAAGGTCGCGTCCATGGCCATCAGGGACATGCCCTGGACCTACCGCTCCGCCATCCTGATGGGCATCGTGCAGTTCCTGTGGTGCGTGGTTGCCGCGATCGCCGCCCTGGGTTCCTTCGTCGCCCTCGAGACGGTCGCCGCCCCGGACGGCTCGTCGCACCGCGCGATCTACTGCTTCGAATCCGCGGACTCGTGTATGTGCAACGGCACCAAGATCTCCGACGTGAGTTGCTTCAGAGAGATACCACAGTAGTGTTGTAGCTCGTTGTTTTTTTTCCAAAAAATCCATCTGTACACCCGTTCGAGATATAGCCTTCTTAATTTCTTTTTTTTCTGACGATTTACGCAAGATGAGAGTCCACGATTGATTAAGCAATGAGGCCATATCATGATACTGCTGTTGCTCATGTTGTTCATGTCGTTGTTGTCGTCCTTGATGATGTTATTAGTTTTGCTGTTGTTGTTGCTCCTGCTGCTGCTGCTGCTGTTCTTTGGTGACAGGGGGAGTGCGAGTTCAGCGGCCTCGGCCTCCCCCTGATGATCGTCTGGCTGTGCTCTATGGCTTGGGGCTGCGGCGTCATTCGTAACGTGGTCGCTTGCACGGTCTCCGGCTCTGTTGCCTCGTGGTGGTTCACCCCCGAAGAGGACCCGACTCCGGTTAAGGGGGCGTTCCACCGGGCCACCACCTCCTCTTTCGGGTGATTTTTTTTTCCCCCCTCGTCTTAATCGTCGACTTTATTTTCGTTTCGTTTGACGTGTACAAGACAGGGGCGCTTGTGTATTTGTTTTTGCTACACAGCATAAAATTCAGCCATAGCATTCGTTTGATTCCACCGGGCAACCACCTCCTTGTTCAGATGAGTGTTTTGTTTTCCTTCCTTTGTCTTCGTTAGTGAGGACCTGAATTTTGCTTCGTTTGGCGTGTACAAGATGGGGGCGCTTCTGCGGTTTCTCTTTTTTGCACAACACAAAAATAGGCCATAGCATACTGTTGATTCCACTGGGCAACCGCCTCCTCTTTCGGGTGAGTGCTATTTTTTTCCTATCGTCTGCTTCTTTGGTGTCGACCTGATTTTGGTTTCGTTTGGCGTATACAAGCTGGGGGCGCTTCCGTGTTTTTTTTTTGCCTACACAACACAAGATCGCCCAAAGCGTACGTTAGATTCCACGCGAACCACCTCCTCGTTTCGAGTGAGCTTTTTCTTTCTTTCTTTGTTGCTCGACTGAATTTTCGTTTGCTTGGTTTAGCTTAACAAGATGTAGGGCCGGCTTGGTGTGCTTGCCACTCCACCGATTTTCGTTTGTTTTCTTTCGATTAAATACCACGCAAACTTTGTATGTAGCACATATATCCGTGCTAAATTCATGGTGTCGTCTGTCACTGACACAGGTCGCTGTGCAAGGCAGCGGCGATCCAGCAGCTCGTCGCCGCCGCCTGCAAGGTCGCGCAGCGCGTGCTCCGCTACGTGCCCTGCGCCACGACGCTCCTGGCGTGGGTCAACAAGGCCGCCAGCTACGTCCTCGCCTACACGGTCGCCTTCGTCGGCATCTACGGTCTCAGCTTCAACGAAGGTGCGCTCCACTGCCTCTTCGTTGTTGTTGTTGTTGTTGTTCGCCTCCTCATCGGAAGCTACCGGTCTGCTCTGCATTGTTTCGTCGTTATTTGGTCGGCGATAAAGATTACTGACGAGATGGTCTGTTGCCGTGTTTCGTTTGAACCTCATCTCGGTCGACGCAAGTACCGAAACCAAAACACACCTTGTCAGCATAACATTACAGAGATGCACTAGACGGCTACCAAAGTGTCTTCTTGACCCTGTTTGCCACAGGGGAGATATCGCTGTGTGCCGCTCGGGAAATGGTGCAAATATAAGTAGCCACTGCTGACGCTACAGAGTGGTGTGTGCTAATCTATCCTATACTCGTTCCTATAGATAAAGAGATGGGTCCGTCATGTCTAATTTAGAAATTATCAATAAACTATATAAGCCAAACCTCGCAAACATACTCAAAATCAACCACCACCTTTCATCCCACGACTCCCCCCCCCCTCCCCGTCTACGAAACACAGCCGGTGGCCGGGTCCGCGAGATGTTCCAGCGCCGCGCCGTGACCACCCTGGCCAACGACATCGTGGTCGAGGTGGGGCTCCGCCTTCTCGCCCTGTCCGCCACGGTCGTCTACGTACTCCTGACCGGCGTCATGATGTTCGGCGCCTTCATGCGCGTGGACGGCGATAGTTCGATGGTGGACTCGGTGGAGTTCTGGTCGATTGTGGGACCCCAGATCTTCGGCGTGGTGGCCCTGGCGTTCCTGGTGTCGACGGTGCTGGAGGTGGTGCGGTCCGGGTTCAAGGCCGTGTTCGTCTGCTTTGTACAGGTGTGTGTGTGTGTGTGTGTGTGTCGTTCTTGTTAGCGTTGACCGCGCTAAAATCGGCTGACAAATGAAAAGTCGTTAGCCTCTGTGGTTGAAAAGGGTGCGTGTGTGTGTCGTGCTTGTTAGCATCGACCGCGCTAGCCGGCTGACAAATGAAAAGACGGTTGTCTTGTGGTTGGAAAGGGTGTGGGTGTGTGCATGCGTCTTTTTTGTTGGCTTTGGCGTGGTGGCCGGGTGACTAATGAGAAGACCCCGATCTCATTGCAGGTGTGTTGTGTGTTTTTATTGTTGACATCGATCGGGCATATCTAGCTGTCCAATGAAAAGGAGTATCTAGGCCAGTCTCAGTGCGGCTGAAAACAGTAAACGCTTCGAAAGGGCCAGCTCGCGTTTGTGTGTGTTTGATCTATTTTCGACCATTGCGTCGACCGCCGCGCCGTAGATGTGTTGTCAACTACATAGCATCGAACGCGCTTAACCGGCTGACAAATGAATCGACAGCAGTCTTTTCTGTAACTGGGACAACAAACGCCAAGTACGCTGTTGTCGTGTGCATTCGTCTGTTTTTACCTTGTCGGGAAAAGTTCGGCAGCGGTGTGAAGTGTCGGATGCGATGATGCATTTCTTTTTTTTTTTTGCGTTTTCTCGACTTCCCGCAGGACCCCGAGGTGCTCGCCGAGAAGCACGGACACGAGGTTCACGCCGAGCTGCAGTCGGCGTGGCAGCACATGCACGGCACCTCGCAGGAAAACGGCGACGGGCAGTCCGCCATCGGTCAGTCGCAGTAGAGCCTGGTCGTCGTCTTCCCCCGTCTTCCCCCTGCCTCATAAGCAGAAGCAGTGTGACTGATAGGCTACCGTTCGAGTAAGCATGCCACTCGTCAAGGGCCGCGAGCGGCACTTTTGCTAAACAGAAGCAGTGTGAGTTTGGGTGCAGGCAGGCTACCGTTCGCGCGAGTGAGAGACCCCCCCCCCCCCCCCCCCCCCCCCCCCCCCCCCCCCCCCCCCCCCCCCCCCCCCCCCCCCCCCCCCCCCCCCCCCCCCCCCCCCCCCCCCCCCCCCNNNCCCTTTTATCTCTCTCTCTCTCTATCTTGCGTGTGGACGATGTTGGTACCATCGAACCACCCGCCCCAGCAGTTGTGGCTTATTCTTTCTGGTGGGCAGTCGAGCGCCCGCTTTCCACGCGCGAAAGGCGGTTGGCTTGCCTTGAATTGTGGTTATGTGTGTTTTTTTTCTCGGTCTTTGTTTCATTTTCGTTCTGAGTTGGATAATGTAGATGGCGGCGGCGGGGGGCGGAGGCGCAATGGCGCACCAGAGGAGCGATTGCGGCATTAAATGGCGGCCGGCATCCGGCAGGGGCCCCCGTCAGAGGCAACGCTCGCGTTGCTTGGTGAGCCATCCGCCGGCCCCCCTTCCCTTTATCGTAGGCTTGTACATAAACATATCGGTAAGGCCTACGTGATAGGTATGTTGTTTTTATTTTTGTTTTGGCGCATCAGGCCTGCGTGATACCACGTGCGCAGGCTGTTCCATGTTTTCGCACATCAGGCCTATCGTGTGTGATGCGTACATGTGATGTCTTTGTATTCTAGCGCTGGAAGCCTGCCGTGTCATGGTGAGAGTGCGACCGACGCACCATTTCTCTCGTCGTGACGCCGAATCAAATGGAGGGTGGCAGCCAGGAGGCGCCGTCGTTGCCCATCCATCCCCATCGAGATTTTTTACGGGCCTAGAGCTTCTGTGCATTTTTTTTTGTCATATGCTACATAGGTCGTTTCGTATGTCGTTGTAATCCCCAACATTCTGGGGTCATTGGAAGCGATATTTTTGGCAACAAATTAAGATTCACCTTGGAAGTCTCCGGTTTGGTCACTTCCAACGATTCAATCATTTTGACGCATAACATCGAATATGTCTTTCTTTCTCATCGAAGCTACAATACTTTTGTCGATCGATAACTACTGCAGAGCTTCAACCTGGCTTTCTAAACAGGCCTGGCCAGGTTTAGTGATGTCATATGCGTGGCACCCTTCTATGCAAGGATTCTACAGCATCTACTCTTGGACGCATGTGTGGTGGCGTTTTGGCGAGAACCGGCGGTCGCGTCGCAAACGGGCTGATTTTCACGAGCTCGTCGTAGGCCTGGCGTCGGAGGCACAGGGATGTTTTGTCAAGGCTGTTGGCAGCCATTTGCCCTGTCCACAACCCATTCTCCCCCACGTCTTGTTTGCATCCAAGTACCTCGCGTCAGAGCCAGTACGCCTTTTTCAACCTCCTCTAAGTGAGGATATATACACGTTGAATCTGCTGACCAAAATCCCCATGTACTTGAAGTGTATGTTTGCATTCTCACTCCCGTGAACTTGTGAATTCCGTCGGCGTCCTCTTTTCTTCTACGCTTCAAACCAGAGCTTGCACAGAATTCCGATGCGGAACTCACAAATCTCCAGTCAATATTTTGCCAAGAAGAATCGTTTGCGCTTGTCATTTTGGGCCCTCAACGCGGAACTCATATTCGTCAATTGTGAAGGAGAGTCGTTAGCTCGTCGTTTTGACCCCTCCTTCGTTCGGAACCCATCGTCTATATCTACAGTATGCGCAAAGGAATGTGTTTTTCGCTTGTCTTGGCCTCTGCTTCCGACACGCCCAATACCGCACGACGAGTGATGCGGGGAACGTGAGGTTGCTTTCAACCTCAAACATCGTCTCCGTCGCCCCCTTCAGCGCGCTTGTCCCGACCTTCGAGCGCACCGAAAAAGTCTACCGACTCTATGCATACTAACCGTTTAACTCTACTTCATCGATACGGGTGTATACACAGAAGTCCTCGCACGAGGGTTTCTATCCCGACTACCGACTACCACCGACGTTCTATTGTCATCCCTTGACGGCACCCCCTCCAGCCTTGGTCGCCGCCCGCCTTCTCTCCTACACTACGTACACGACCTACGCCGACGCCCCCGAAGGCGAACCCCTCCGCCGAGTGCCGCAGGCAGAGGGAGACAACAGGTACGTAAGTGTTGTCTCGTCGGAATGGTCTCTTCGCTCATCTTACTTGGCAAACTGCTGTGCCGACGAGCGACATCAGATTAATGGCGAACGCAATATTATTGACAAGCTCATGGGTTGTTGCCGTTGCCACTTAATAAGCGTGTTCTTCCAAGTGGTTCCGCTCATGGTCAAAGACTGTGCCGACGAGCGTGAACCGTCGAGTTCTTCGAGGCCAAAAGGTGGCAGTGCTTGCGGGAATGAGACATTTCCACCACTACACCCCACACGAGCACGGACTAAGCACGAACGGGAAGAGCCCTACTTGTGTCGAAGAAGTAAGTGCTTCCGCAGGGCCCCTGCAAATTATGCCGGTCGTTGCGCAGGTGGGTGCATCTGCATAGCCGCCCTTGGAAGAAAAATAGGCGTGCTTCGGTCAGCAACGGCCATTGTTCGTAGTTCAACAGCGGAATTTGCGAGAATGACAGCTGTAGTCTATACGATTCCACCGGTGGAATCTACGATAATAACCACCATAGGAACCAAGGCTGCTGCACGACCGACGAGTGAAAGATTTTGTGACCTCTCGTCAGAAGTCGTATATGTCGTCGACGTTGTTCTCGGCCTCCTTGCTCCCGCGGCGCTCTCTGCCGGCGGCGGCGGCGGCGGCGGCGTCTTTCGCCGGCGCGGGTGTCTCGAGGTCGGCGCCGTTCCTCTCACCACCGCTGCTGCTGCTGCGCCCTTCGGCACCTACCGCCGCGGCGGCGTCCGCCTTCCCGCGCACCGTCGACGACTCCTTCGCCATTTGCCCCTCCCCTGCCGTGCCTCCCGATGTTTTGATTCTGCCACCATTGGCGGCGGCGGCGCTAGAAGGGCCCCCGCGTCCCACCGAGGCAACAGTAGCCGAGTGTTTCTTCTGGGCGAGGAGACCGTCGTTCCACGCCTTTGCTTCGGCCTTGGCCTTGCCGTCGGCCTTGAGCTCTGCCTCCACGAGGGGCTGCCCCGTCAGCGGACAGATGCTTCCCTGCTTGGAGAGCCACAGCCTGATCATCTGCCGGTCGAACAGCTACATTTCCGTCGAAAGGGGAGGGAGGGAAGGGAAGAGACCGTTTAGGTGTGAAACGGAGGACGTCGAATACTTTGTTTCCGTTGAACGAGAGGAGTGAAAAGGGCGAGAGGGAAGAGGGGAGAGGACCCTTAAGTGTGAAACGTGCGACGTCGAATTTTTTCCCGATGAGTGGGAGGAAAGAAAAGAGGGAGGGGAGGGAAGATACTGTTTAGGTGTGAAACGGATGACGTCGAGTTTTTTTTCCCGCTGAATGAGAGGAGTGAAATGAGGGAGGGAGACGGGCGATGTTCCTTTAGCGTGAAACATTTGGCGTGAAACGTACGGCGTGAAACGCACTCATCACGTGAGGGCTCTCACCATCACCACCACTATTTTCCTATCCTACTCACACGAGGTCCACGTGTATCTAGGAGCGTATTGTCACGGGGGTCATGTAGTAGGTCCTTACACGACGCTGATTGGCAGGTGCACGGGAGTTGTCGGCTGCAAGGTTCTCAAGCCACATCATTCTTTCGCCAGAGGCATGTACATGTACAGCCACGGGACGCTTCAAGCAATAGCCTACATACTGCGTAGGTGCCTCGCTCACGTGCCCGTAGGGAGTCCTCACGGGGTCCCTCGCCACCCGCTTCGAAAGCTGGCAGATTATCCCCTCCGGCGCCTGCTCCTCGTCCGTCTCTCCGGGCATGCCTAACGAGTTTGAATCTCTGGAGACCTCGTGCATGCCCGGGGCGCCCCCCGCACCGTCCCCTGCCCCCCCTCGTCCTCCTGTTCCTCCGACTCCCGCGCCGTCGTGCCTTCGTTCCTCGCTGTCGCGCTTGGAGTCGTAGGCCGTCGGCGAAGCGCCTCCACTGCTGCTCGAGACTGATTGATCGCGAAAGACGGGGGCCGGCGGAGCGGAGGAAATGATGAATGGTTCCGTTGCAAGTGAGGGGAGAGTGCGTGGCGGCTCACTCGGTGTTCGCCCGGCTCGGGGATGGTTTGTCACGGCACCAACGAGTCATGACGACTGAAGAAGATACATCGATAAAAGGTTCAGGCAAGCTGGGATCGCACGAAACTCTTGTTGTTTTAAAAGAATGATCGTACATTAGCTGCTTTGGCGATTACACTCTCCACCACGGCGCAAGCCTTCAGCTTCCAAGGTGGTGATCACACCGGCTCTGGCTCCCTGTGAATGCAGCGCCTTCTACATTAAAACGACCCCCCCCACCAAGTGGTCGGGGGACGTCTGGGTGTTTACTAAGCAGAGCGCCCGGCACAAGACTGGGGTACTTGTGTCAGGAGGTGTGAACTTGGATCTAGACTACGAGCCTATGTTGGAGGCGCTATTTAGCGTCGGTGAGCCGGCAAAAGAACTGAAAGGAACCACAACCCCCGCCGGACACTCGGATTGGGAAGGCCGAGTATTCCGTATACCTTCCTGAAAAAACACGAAAAACAAGTGGCCACGGTCCAGTTGCCGTAG